CGTGGGCGGGTTATTTGCGTGGGCGGGTTATATGGGTGAAAATACGGTACAGTTATATGTGTATTTGAGTGGGAGGGGACAATAACTTGATATTGCACTGTACTGAAGATTATGCTTCTGTATATACTCTATGGAACTGAGAGTTAGGTATGTCAGGAGAGACATAAAAATAAGGCATAGGAACTAGGTACTTCAATATGTGTGCTGAATGAATATGAATTTAATAGGAAAGTGAATGCCTATCACATTTAGGGAAAATGCAGGAGACTGAACAGAAATGAAATGTATAAAGTTAAAATGAATAGAATGAGAGAAGGAATGAAAAAAATGAGTGATAGAATGGAAAAGGATTTCAAAAACAGGTGAGATGTTTACACTCAAGGCAATGTATGAAGCAGTATTCAGAAAAGGTAGAAGCAAACATAATTTCCAAGGAGAGAAGATTCAGCTGGGTATATCTGCCATTCCCTGAAGTAAACTCCACTGAGTTCAGTGAGGTTTATTTATCCATTAATACATAGACAAATCAGAAACATTACAAATTTTTCTTGTGACACATAGATAAGAAGATAAAGTACCTTTTCCATTTCTTGTCTGAAAGTTGTGAAAAGTTCATTACTCTTTGCCATAGTTGTTTGGAATTCCTCAAATTTATCCATGTAAAGAGAAAGCTAAAAGTAACAATATTTAAATCTAATTTAGATACATAATTTAGAATTATTTACATAATAATTACACTAGTTACTCACTACAGATATCATCTAAAAAATAGAAAAAATAATAATAATTAAAGGCCGATTTGGTCATGTGAAGATTTACATTGTCTAGATTTAAAGACCCAGTTAGCTTTCAAAAGATAAAAGCTGAGGTACAGGTTTCTACAGTAAGATTACATCAAATAACAACACTCAAAACACTAGTATTATGAAACCCATTTCTATCTTTAGTTCTAAGAGAAGTAAGTGTTAACAAAAAAGATGAAAACATGAATAATTTTGTAGGGGCTTTTAGACTTTAGCAAAACAATAAAAGAACAGACACTAATTCAGTGGACTTTCAAGGAAGGTTTAAAATGTGTGGATTTATCACATGATTTTTAGAAGTTCATCTGATATAGTATTTAATCAAAAAGAATTCTACATAGCAGCATGAATAAAATAGAGCTACCATGTGAAAAATAATTGCCCTGTCACATCAAGACAAATTGGCATAAATTTGAAAGGCATTACAATATAATTGTAATTGCATATTTTGTATAAAAGTTGTGCATTTATGCTCATTATAAAAAAAATCTTCTCAATCTGGTTTGTCTACGAAATCAGCCAGTAAATATACATATTTTAAATGGACTAGGTCTGCGACAACTTGAATTACCTTAGAGGTAAGATTACCCGTATAGATTTCAGGGTTACAGAAGCAATTTCCAGTTAATGTAGCCTCAAACCTTAGCAACAGTGGGTGGGATTAATATCTGATGCCTGACACTGACGCTTAGTTCTTTTGGAAAGAATTGCCGAATTATTGTATTCCTTTCCCAAAGAATTGTTTTAGGCTTCCAATCTGATTTAATAATTTTAATTTTTAAGAAACTTCTCCAACTTTATTTAATAGATTAATAGCTAAGCTACTAATCACAATTTAAATTGGTTACCTGCTGTTTTAATTGGGCTTCTTGCTGCTTCATCTGTTCACATTTGTGTCTAGATTCGGTAGCTTCTTTTAACAGCTGAGGACAAAGAAAATATTTTCTGTCTAGAATACCTTAATATCAGGAAATATTATACTTCTGATATTTACACACCTATGTAAAATTGTACCTGTAGCTTGGAAAATGCAATAGGGTCAACAGGCATAGAGCTACATACATAAACTATATTATACATTGTATTATTACAAAGTTATTTTGCAACAATGTGCTGCATACAATTTAAAAACCTATTAATCTACATAGCGTGACAATACAATAAAAAAGAGATTTGCAGCTTGTTCTAAAAACAATAAAAAGTCTAAACATGTTGTAACAACTTACCAGATAATTCTTTTATCTTAAGCTTTCTTAAAAACACTTACAAAATCTTTCTCCCTCTGATGTTTTTCCTCAGCTTCTTTTATAAGCTGTGTAGTCTGCTGAAGCTTGGCATCCACCAGTTGTTGCTGCAGTTCTTTATGCTTGAAGACTTTATCCATGTGCTAGAGAAAAGCATAACTGCAATCAAACTAAAAACCATTTTTTTAATGGCGACTAAATGTTTCACAAGCTAGTTTCCTTTTGTGTGTTTTCTCCTTCAATAATGGTGAATTCTTAAATATTCTTGAATTAACTAACATAATCTTCATTATTTATAACCAACCATGCTCAACTGGAAAACATATAATGTGATTTGGATGCTGCATCAGACTTGGGAAGGCATAAGCTAACATCAATAAGCATGGATGCTGAATGGATAGGCCAATTCTTCACCTAATCTATCTCTGTAGATGAAGCTTATTCTGTAAACCTGTTCCTTAACATTTAGGAGATATTTCTTGAGGTTTTATTGTGAGTATTTTAGTGTAATGAAATATTATTATAATGCTTTACTTACTTCTTCTCGAAGTGCATACTGTTCCACAAGTTTCTTCAGCTTTTCCCCCAATTCAATATTTTCTTGGCGAAGTTTTGCATTGTGTACACCATGCTGTTCCAGTTGTGCCTGAATTTCATTTAATGTAATCTGGAAATGTACTGTTGCTTCTTTACGTCGCTCTTCCTCTTCACGGGCTTGCTGCATATTTTCTTCCTTTTGCCCAAAGGGATTAAAATCCATTTATAAACATTTTTTTAAATTAGATTTTGGTCAACAGCAAAAAAAATGTAATCCAGCTGCATCTTAACATCTCAAAATATTAGAATTATATTGGTTTTCAAATTCTTTCATTCTTTTATCTGACAAATATGTATGAAGACTAATTTGTTTTCAGAACCAATACATTAAAAGTTCTGATTGCAACTGGGACTTCATTTTTATACAGTTTCCAAATTAAAAATATGGTAACAGTGAATTTGAACTTGGAAAAGGAAGCTGCTTACAAGTAATTTCATTTCAAATTAGAATTGCTTCTGATGAAAGTCAACAGAGAAACTTGAAGGTGAGCTTGTCTTTCAGAGCTAGCTGTTGTTAGGCAATGAGGGGCCAACTGTTTCTAACTTGAAGTCAATTTGTTGAACACTGTGCCCTACAGAAGACATGTTCCTGATATGAACCAGACAAACATGAAAAAATCTAGTCAAATTAGCTGTTATAAGTCCACAACATAGTACAGTATCACCTTTACAATATCATATAGGCCCAGTACTCTTCATAACATCTTCATAAATGATTTTAAAGGGGGGAATTGTAAGGGATGCATAAAATTTGCAGATGACACCAAGCTGGCAGGAATAGCTAACACCCCAGAACAGGGGTGTCAAACTCACGTTGTCATCGCAACATTATGTGACTTATAACTTTTTCTCCTTTCCCTAACCAGGACGTGGCCAGTGCGTGTTTATCCGCCCGAGGGCCACGAGTGACAGCCTTGCCCTAGAACATGGGTCGGCAATCTTAAACACTCAAAAGAGCCACAAATGTCCTAACTGGAAGGCCCCTGTTCAATTCTGAAGAAGTCCAGTTCCCCCACCATAGTCTCTTCCTAGCGTGGCCTCCTTTTTCCTCTACCTGTCCTAACTGAAAGCCCTATCAATTGTGTAACCGACTTCTGACACGGAGCCACAGCAGAGGGATGAAAGAGCCACATGTGGCTCCAGAGCCACAGGTTGCTGACCTCTGCCCTAGAAGATAGGCTCAAGATCCCGAAGGATTTTGACAGACTTGAACACTGAATCCTATCTAACAAAATGAAATTCAATGGTGAGAAAAATATGGTTTTACATTTGGGCAAGAAAAACCAAATGTACAGGGATAGAATAGGTGGTATCTGGCTCAATAGCAGTAACTGTGAGAGGGATCTAGTAGTCCTGGACAACCATTTGTAAGCAAACAGTGTGCTGCAGCTGCCAAAAAAAGCCAATGGAAAAAATGTCCTAGGCTGCATTAACAGAGGGATAGAATCAAGATCACATGAAGTGTTAATTCCACTTTATAATTCCTTGGAAAGATGTTGAGACTCTAGAAAAAGTGCCAACAAGAGCAACAATGATTAAGGTAAAACATAGAATGAATGGTTGCAGTAATTGGGTATGCCTAGTCTAGTGAAAATTACTAGGAGTCACATGATAACAGTGTTCCAATATGAGGGGCTGCCCCCCAAAAGATGGGGTCAACCTAATTTTTAAGGGAGGACAAGAAGCAATGGATGGAAACTAATGAAGGAGAAAACCAACCTAGAACTAAGGAGAAACTTCCTGACAGCAAGAACAATCAAAAGTGGAATGGTTTGCCTCCAGAAGCTGTTCCATCACAGGAGATTTTTAAAGAAGAAATTGGATAGTCATTTGTCTGATATTAGACTCTCCTGCTTGGGTGGGATGAGGGTTGGTTGGAGAACCTTCCAACTCTTATTATTCTGTTTTGTTATTCCTTCTATTATCTTATGTATACATCCCATCAAGCCCAAAGAAAGTCCAGAATGGTATAAGGTATCTCACCATTGGTAGGGGTTTGGACTAAGGGTTTGGACCTAGGTCCAATCCAACCATATTATCCTATGTTCTAGTCTATGTTCTAATTATTACATAATAGAAGATCAAAATCAGATTCTTATTTCAGCAACAGTGAAATAGAATAGAAAGTTAAATTTCTACAGAAGATAAAAACAAAACACTAGTTTCATTTAAATTATAAAAGTGATAATGCCATCAAGAATCCTTCTCTGATATTATGGCATGACTAGTTTAGAGTGGTGTATTGTATTACAGAGTTTTAAAACTTTTCAAAAGTTCATAGTTTAAAGGTTGTTTACAGAGTTTTTCTTAAAGCATCATTTATTTAAATTTACATGTTTACAAATGTCCATTTATTTAACTATACTTTAAAAATTGTGTTTTTTTAAATAAAGACTTCCTCACTTTGGAATAATTTTTAACCAAGAGAAACACAGCAAATAAAGCAATTTGATTAACTTAGTATACTAAATGAATATAATTAAGGTGATTGAGAAATCAGTGGTGTCTGTATGAGTTGTACAAAACAAGCCATGGCCTAATGTTATAAACCAAGAACCATTTTAATGAGATATAATTTGGGAAAAGATCAGTGACAGAAATGAAACTCCAAGAAAAGCACTACAGTAACAGGAAAGAACCAACTTCTGTAAGTGATGGTTTACTATTAAAGTATTCTCATATTTATAATAACTAGAAAAAAGAAAAGTATCTCAATATTAATTTTTAAAATGTGAATTGAATAGGAGATATTTATTCATAGGAACAGAAAATATTTATTCATGGATGCTTTTTCTAATTTCCTCATGAGTGATTATATCAAATATTCAAATAATAAGATCATGGCATCCCAATTTCTACAGTAACAATTTACTAGCAAATAGAGAAAAACAAGATTAAGAAAGAACAGGCAACATGGAATAGGCAGCTCTATATCTTTACCACTCTGAAAAAACACCTGACTAAAAGTATATCCCAAACAAAAAATAACAAACTCATCTAGGATGGACATCCTCTTCCACTTAATCCCATTTTGTTACAACTCCAAAACATATAGTCAGCCTTTTCTTTTTTGAAGGGAACTATTTGTTTCAGGTTTATTGCTATATTATTGCAGAAAACTAACCTTGAGAGTCTTATTATGGCGTTGTAGTTCTCGACACAGAGATTCCAGTTTGCTACGTGCAAGAATTGCTTTGCTATGTTCACTTTGCAGGTGCACTTTCTCTTTTACAACCTGTACTTGTTTCTTTTGCAGCATCTTCATTTGTCTCTGAACATTTCGGCTCTCCTCTAGCTAAATAAAAAAGAGAGAGAGAGAGAAAATACATATCTGAATTCAGTTATGTTTAAAGAGAATATTTAACTTCTGGTATTCCAATTTGAGACCTAATATGTGCATTTGAATTTGTTAATTTTTCTAATATGCAGTTTATCTATCCTTAGTTTGTAACCTAATGCTGAGGATGAAGCAAAAATCAATTCATTCCATTAACTGAGCTCTTACTACACATATCTTTATTATAATAACTGGCATCTTTTTCTATTTTCCCAGATAATAAGCTCTAATTACAGTTTTAAAATGTCACTTTTGTATGTCAAGTATATTTTAAAAATATTTAAAGGATCTTCTGCTAGGATACCAATGAAAAGGATCAGCTATGCATGCACATATATGTATAACAATAAGAAAACAGTGGCACTGAGTTACTTTAGTAGTTCAAACAAAGATACTACTTTATGTCAATGCACTGTGAAGATATCTGTGCAGGAAGTAGCACATTTGTTAAGAGTTTAGTTCACTTTTTAAATTACGAAGATATTAACTCACTTCAGCTCCATGCTTCCCTTCCGATCCTAGGCCATACAATGATTGTTCTGTCACTCAGATACCAGGATCTTTTTCACCAGCTTCTACAGCTGACTTTTACCAGAGAATCTCATTCACAGAAATGGTGTCATGAAAATTAAGTCACACTCTATGTTCAGAGCTGGAAGTGTTTCTGTTAATCTGTTAGTCCCAAAGGTGCTTTTTCAAAAGGCAAGTAGACTTTGTTTTTTCCAAAACAAAATTGCCTTTTGAAAAAGTACCTTTGGGATGGATAAGGATATCCAGATAGAGGTATTACTGCTAAGTAGGAAAGTAGATTCAGAGACTAAAGAGCAACTTGTGTTTAATGGGACTATACTTGTCTTAGAAGAACATATGTGCAGTTTAGTGAATGTTCCTTGATATTCAGCTGGTGAGAAGGGGCTTTTTTCCTTCACAGTTAAGGCTAATGTGCCAGCTGCCTCTTATTTTGATGACTGCAATAAGTTGTCAAAGAAGCTGAAAAATGTCTGTAAGTTGCAACTGGGGCAAAATGCAACAGTTGCCTGCTGATAGGGTCCAAATAACAAGTATAAATGTTATATGTACTGAAAGATGCACTGGTGAATGATTGATAATTGGGCACCAATGTTGCTATGGCCTTTTAAAACCTTAAGTATCTGAGGACCTGACAAAGTGAGGGGCTACCCTTCCTTGTTCCAATATTTGAGAGGTTGCCACAAAGAAGAGGGGGTCAAACTATTTTCCAAAGCACCAGAAGGGAAGACAAGAAACAATGGATCAAAAGTAATCAAGGAGAACCTAGAACTAAGGAGAAATTTTATAACAGTGAGAAAAATTAATCAGTGGAATGGCTTGCCTTTAAAAATTGTGGGTGCTCCATCACTGGAGGCTTTAAGAAACTGACAGCCATTTTCTGGAATGGTATAGGGTCTCCTACTTGAGCAGGGGGTTGGACTAAAAGACCTCCAAGGTCCCTTTCAATTCTGTTTCCTGTTTTTTTAGATTAGAGTATAATCTAATCTATTTAGATTACTTAAAGAACTAGAGAAAATCATTTTTCAAAAGACCAGGATAGGAAGGGAAAATATTTTGTTATTTCTTGATCATTAAAAGGAAGACACTGAGTCCTAAAGATATATGATCTGCTATCTGATGCATTACATTAGACTTGGTAATTGTCTTTAGTTTATTTTTTCCTTCCAGATGACTAACTTTGCATTGTTTTTAATATTAAATGCTCTAAATACCATATTTTTCCATGTATAAGATGATACTTTTTCTTAAACATATTTACCTAAAAATGGAAGGATGTCTTATACATGGGGGGAAGTGTGGTTACAAAACTGCCAATACCTTATCTCTGCAAACTAGCCTCACGAGCAAAATTTCCTATTGCAGAGACAAGCTAACAGGTTTTCTTCAATCATGAGCCTTATGTAACTGTAGTCAGATGATGCTGCAGAGAGCATGTAACCAGTGCCCAGATTCGACAGGGAGTGGTAATGTTGGAGTGTTCTGAGCCCATAAAAATGTCAGAAAAAAATAAATAAATACCGGTACCAGTAAGAATGTCTTACTCTGCAAAATAAATGTCTTCTATTTAATGTTTAAACTATTGATTTATGAATTTTGGGTAAGAAAAAAAGGGGGTGTATACATGGGGCGTCTTGTAGATGGAAAAATATGGTGATCAAGATGTACTAGACAAATTCCAGGAAATCTGCCCGTTAGGTATATTCGTGATGCATTTAATTTGCAGTCAAGCTTCCACCAAGTTATGTGAAATTATGAGGAACATGATAATGGTTTGCTAATGCTTCATTGATTTCCCAGTCTAGTCTATGATTCTGGGTTTCCTGATGCCTTCACATTAAAATATTAGCTAGATTTAATCCTCCTTAGTTTGTCCAGGATCAGTCAAGGTTGATTATGTTATACATGTTTAATAATATTAAATCTAAAATATATTACCAGGTCAGCATATTTCTTGCAGAGTGCTGCTAGCTTTTCTTCTGGAGTAGCAAGTGTGTTTAAAGCTTGCATAAGTAACAATACTTCTTTTCCTATGGGCCAAGAAAATATCATAGTAGTGAGCAGCATGGTTAGAATATTGACAATAAAATAATATAAAATATGAGGAAATTTCAGCCAAAGCAACATTTTCATACAAGACAAAGTGAGAATTGGCAACAAAAACTTCTGAATAATCACAGTATAAACACATTATACAAATACTGATTTCCATATAAAAACCAATTTTATCTACAAAGTTTAGGAATGTAGAGAGGCAACAAAGCACTATATATTTAATTATGAAAATTGAATTTAATAAGGTTCAATAAAATATTTGAGTTTTAAAACATATAGCTATTAAGAACATAGGAGTTTTAAATATATAATAAAGATAAACAATATGTTCAATGTTAAAAAGCTATGTTTCAATGACCTAAAGTACCTAAAGTTTTTTCTTTGTTTTTCTCATTTTCTGAGTCTTGCTGGCCATCAGGTGGGTCAATACGGGTTTCTTCTCTCCCTGGAGTCTCCTCACGCAACTCTTGGGTACAATATTCTTTCCCCACCAGCTTTCTGTTTTTGGAAATGTAATCTTCTACCTCCTGTGCATCTTCAGTGTCAGTTTTTGGTTGCTGCAGCATTGTACTTGTTGTATGTTTGCTGTTCTCCAATTGATCCTAGTTGCCAATTCCAAACTCACAAATCTTTGATTTTTCCACAGTAATCAATTCGCACTGGGAAGAGAAATATACTCAAATTATTAAAGGAAAAAACGCATTGTTCTAAGCTTTCGAAGCCCCTAAAAGAATAGGCATGTTTCACCAGCAAACTGCGCATGTTTATACGGGATACAGCACGGCGAGGATAAGCAGATGCTACGGGAACAATCACGCTCCTTGTTGATCCTAGGCCCTAGGGCAGCTTACTTGGAGACAAGTCTCCTTAACTTCATTGCTTCAACGTTTAGAATTGTGCCGAAAGGGGAAAAAAATAAAAAAGACGACAGGAGCTCCATCCGATTATGATTAAAACCGCCTCCCCTTCCCGCTCCGAAGAGCTTCTGTGAAAAGCGGCAAGGTGGAAATACTGAGACCCCTCCCGCTCAGCCAAACGCCGGGCTCTTGCCAGGTATAGAGAAAGAAGAGATGGAATAAGGCTATCAAGAAAGCCTACTACACAGATACCTCCTCCGCCAAGAAGCCGAACTGTGAAACCGGAAGTTTAGCGAAGCGGATTAGAACGACGCCGCAGGAGGAACTTCCTGTCTCTTCCGCCCAAATACCCGGCTGTGGCTGAACACAACCCACCACCCACCCGCGCAGGCTGTGAACGCGGATGGGTTCGCAACCATCAATTCCCATCTGCGGAGAAAATGAGCATCTAGCGTGGCGAGGGAACACGGGGAACCGAAGCGACGGCACATTGTTATTTGCTCTTTGATTTAAAAGCCACGAACTAATTAATGTTTGCTCGCTACACCTTTCCCTACAATCAGCATGTTCGGTTGTTACTGATTGATTCTCCTCGGTTTCTTCTACAAAGGAATTCAGTTGAGTTGAATTTCTAGCCCCGAAAACGTGTGCTATAACAAGCTGAAGGTTTTGCCTTGAAAGTTTAGATATTGCGGCACTTCAATAGAAATTATAGGGGCTTTGCATGTTTACTCTGAAGAAAAGATAGCTGAGGAATTCATTCCTATGTTCAGGCCCATAAAAAGATTCAGTGGGGAAGATGATCAATGTTCCATTGGGACGGAAAGTCCAGAAATAATGGATGTAAGATAGTTACCTAGATCTTGGTTAATTAAAAGGAAAATTTTCTTGAAACAAAAATATTATAAGACTGGGGATTTATACCTCGAGATTGTGGGTTCTTCATTTCTGGTACTTAAAAAAAATAGCCACATCTCAAGGATAGGGGTTTCCCCCCTGCACATTGCAGACAGTCAGACTAGATAACCCAAGTAGTCCCTTTAAATTCCAGTTCTAAGATTCTGTAAGTGAACATCTTAGTGAATTTGTGTGTGTGTGTATGTATATATATATATCTTCCAAAATTTAATTTCTACTTTTTAAAATGGAAAAGTTGAATTGAGCAATAAAAAAGGCTAAAGACAACAAATTAACTGTATTTCTGATGAAAGTTTGTTGCCCTTCCCAAGCCTATGAATTTTATTCCTGAGTGATTATGTTTGAAGGTTGCAATATCAGAATTTGTGCTATAAATAATGGTCACATACAACAGCTATTCAAATATAAGAGAACGTATGTAGCTCAGAGTTGCAGTGTGGAGTCTCTGGTGTTAAGCTTAGTTGCAAACATTTCCTCACTCAACTAGGTAACAGTACTAGTTAACATGAGGTTTACTCCCTATTTACATACAGTTATGTATAGTAGCTTGCCCGATCAGTGTTGGTGGGGGTATTGTTTCCTTCTTCCTAGTTCAATACCCTAATCAAAGAACTACTAATGAAGGACCCCCATCCTCACCATTACAGGCAGGGTAAGCTACTGTATATAAACAGGAAGCAAATCCCACACTTGCAGGATTCATGTTATACAGTCAAGTAGTGAAACATTTGCCACCAACCAAGTAACCTTGGAGAAGACCAAGGACTCTTAACAAATGACAGTTGTTAATCATTATTAACAAAAAAGCGCCACAATGGCTTAACATGTGGCCTAGTTTTTACATATAGGTTTTCTTGGTTGGATTTTTCCCAACATTCTCCATTCAAGAGATGTTTTGTGAGGGAAAATTCTCCCTCAAGGAGCAACAATTATCTTTAACTTTCTACTTTGCTCTGCACCACTCAGTTAAAGAAAGCATGTCACTTATTTGTTCCTTCTGGATATTGTGGCCAAGGCCACCACTTTCATTGTTTACCTATAGATAGAAAAGAGTGAATGAAAAAGTCAGTGTGGATGTACTCCTTCAATTGTCACTTTTTTAGGTTTCCTGCTCAGAGAAAAATGAATAGGAAAATGCCACTGCTTTTTATTGCCATGTGAGCCTAGCTCTATTTGCCACCATGCCCAGAAGGGATGAGTCAGAAAAGAATTGTTGCTGCGTATTCTTGGTTGCAGGTTCTCCATCTCCAAAAGCAGAACTCAAAGACAACCAGACAATGAAGAGATCTTAGGGAATTTTCTAACTAGGGGTCCTCCTCCCTGTGCTTTTAGTAGCTCTTCTGGTTGGCGGAAGAAAGGAGAAGATTGCTAGAGTGTACATCTTGACAACAACTTTTCCTTGACAAGCCGATTTTTCCTTCAAAGTAAAAAAGCAAGAAGCAAACATCTTCAAAATTGGTAAGCCCCAAGCAGCCTGTCATTTCAAGTCACAAACGCCTCTCTCCCCTCCTTTCTTTAAGAGGTCACACACAATTGACTCATCAGCTCTTGGCGATGCAGCAGTAGCAACCTGGATTTCGCACGAGAATACAGTAATCAAAAGTGGATGCGGCAGAATCGACAACATTTATAAATGATAAGTTCCCGCCAGAAGGACTTAGAGCACCGAGTCGCCAAGGCGACTCTCAATTTGATATCCCTCCACATGTTATTCTACTCTTCCCGCTCGCTGGAGAAAGAGCACGATGAGCAAGTACACATGGCTACCGAGTTTCCAATTCTTTTTCTCCTGCAGATCCTTCCAGGAGAAGAATGTGACTGCAAGCCATCCCTGTTCCCGTGCGGCATTGTCCCAAGGGAATATACGGTAAAGAAATTGCAGAAATACCTCCCAAAACTGAAACTAGCACACCACCTGCAACTGGAGCCCTTCTCCGCAAGCAAAGTGGGAAGGAAACCACAAGAGTTTACCTTTGAATAGTCCCGTACCAACCCGCAGGGCCGCCGCCGCCTCCTTTCCTTCAGACGACTCCGGCTCAGTAGTCTATCTAGCCTCCGCGGCAGCACTGCCTTAAACACACGCTGGGCCGGCTCTGCGCGCCGCCATAACATGAAGATGGCATCCAAACAAGTCGGTCCGCACCGGAAGCCCTCCATGACTCCCTGGGCTCAGCCAATCACTAGAAGCTTTTCTCTGCATCCGGGGTTTGCCTTTACTCCCATAAACCAGGACCATGGGAGTAGCTTGGAACTACAACTCCCAGTATTCATGAGGGATTCGCGTAGGGGTTCTGCCCGGAGATCACAAATGGCTTTCGCTTTTCCTTCAAGTAGTGATCTCTTCCCAACGCTTCACGGGATTTGTAGTTTTTTGTCCGTGTTGTCTTCTCGAGCGTGCGATGGCGGCGGCGGCTGGAAGCCAATGTTTTCTACAAGGTGCCTTTGGCTTTTAAGGCGCTCTCTCAGAGAAGTGCAACACAATAGAGTAGGGTGAGTTTTCTTAAATTACGATTCGTTGTAACGCCGTCCTGGCCCTTAGGAGGCATTGGTGTGTGAAGCACTTGTTTCCAAAAGATATTTCAGTCTTCGCACCATGTGAAAGAACAAGCGGAGTTTATGAAACAATTACCCCTGTCCTATTCGCGGGCAGAGTTGTGATAGGCTGGTACTACATTATACTTATAAAAGCAGTGGAGCTTTTCCCAGCCCGCATCTATCTTTCACAATTTATGTACTGCTGGTGTTAACTTGGTTTTCCAAATTAGAGGGAAATGATTCTTACCTTACATCCTGCCCGGTGCACTCAGAAGCTTTCGAGGTGAAAAATCAATATTTACACAATATCCTTAACGGGAAGGTGTTTTAATATTGTATAGTGAATTTAGTTGAAATACTGTACGTCTGCAACAAATAATGGTTATTGTGCTACTGTGAGCATGTAACAGTGTTTTCCAGTGTTGGAAGAAATGTCCATCTGATTCAGTTCCAAGTGGGAAGAAAGACACTAGAAACGTGGAGGCTGTTTGGAAAGATGGTTTAATGATGGACAGGACCACATGGTTTGAGGTCCTGGACAATCCAGCACATGGGAGAGGGAGGGAGGGAGGGAGGGAGGGAGAGAGAGAGAGAGAGGGAGAGAGAGAGGGAGAGAGAGAGAGAGAGAGAGAGAGAGAGATTGATTGATTTATACCCTCCCTTGGGCTTTGAACTTGCTTCCTGTTCCTGTGAAAGAAATGTATTCTGATTGGTTGTCAGATTCCCATGGGGCCATGCAGGGGTAACTTTGTAGGTTTTCTTGAGTCCCAGGCTTGGTTGAATCTTGCTGGGTGATGTAATGTTCCCAGGTGCCATGTGGTCCTGAGGGTGAAGGTGTTTTGTGTTGTAAATAAGCTGGCCAAGCATTTTGCTTGTTCATAGGATAGCCTAGTCTTTCTGGGGCTATTAAAAGCTGCTTTCCAAGAGGACGTGTCTCCTTTTTTCATCCAGAGAGGTATAATATTCTGCCTTTTTAATATTTCCTAGAGTATTTCATTCTTCTAGGAGAAGGGTGGGTGCTAACTCTCTAAAGCAGTTAAGAGAAGTATTAACAGATACTTAGCAATATTTCAGTTAAACTCAGATGATATTTGTTAAAATTACATGTTAATAATTATGAATGCAATTAGATTGAAGAGGTAACAAGTAGAATTCAAGAAGATGTAAGTCTGTCATTTTCTATTAAAAACAGCACCCTAGGCCCCTGGTGACGAACCTATGGCATGGGTGCCAGAGGTGGCACGCAGAGCCCTCTCTGTGGGTACGTGCGCCTTTGTCCCAGCAGACTATGCCATAGGGTGGGTGTCGCCAAGCTGCAGGCTCTTTCGTCCCTCCGCTGCAGCTCCCTGTTGAGTGATCTTATCACTGGCTGGCCATGCCCCTCGCCCTCCCCTCCCAGTTACCCCAAAGGAGCCTTTGAGAGCTGAATGCCGAGAGGCACGGATTTCATCTGATTTCTGCATTCTCACTCCATGCTGAAGTGTGCCAAATGGGCCGGGGTGGTCTCCCTCCCCGCTAAGCGGCCCCACCAGGCCCGCTTGCAAACTCCACCGAGTGCACCTCCAAATACCACAGTGGCAGGGAAGGTGCATGCCCTGCCTGCTCCGCTCTTGCTGGCCAGAGGTGGTGCTTTGCACTGCCACCTCCCAGTCATGGTTGTTTGCTTCCTGGTCACCTTGAAGAAGGGATCTGTGCTCAGGCCATCCAGGCCCCTGTGGAGGGAGGGAGTGAGGGAGAGGCAAGAGTGGGAAGTCTCCCCAACAGGATCCAAGTTGGAGTTGCCTTATTTTGCATGGATGTCTAACGCTTGGCTTTGCCTGCCAGCCTCCACTCCCCCTCTCCAGCCCAAGTAGTTGGATTCACATGACACGTAAAGCTGGGCAGGAAAGCATCGACAGATAGACTGATACTGTATTTCCCCCAAAATAAGACTGGATCTTATTCTTATTTTCTTTTGACCCCCGAAAAACCAGCTAGGGCTTCTTTTTGGGGGTGGGTGGGTATATTATTCCCCCCCCCCAAATGTACCAGTATGAGGAGGGGTGGGGTGAGTGGCTCCTTCTGCTAATTTCCCGAAGGGTTGCAGCAGGCCATCCCACCATTCACGAAACAGCTGATTCGTGGGTGCTGCTCAGGCTGCTGCCTCCAGCAAGCGCAACCAGTTTTGCACACAATTGGGGCCACAAAAGAAGCTGGAGGCCAAGTGACAGTCTCCACACACCTCATACCCTCCTTAGCTAACAGTGACACTGACAGCAGGCAATTCCATCCACGGAACAGCTGCCTCGTGAGTGTGCTCTGGCCGCTGCCTCCAGCAAGCATGGCTGCTTTTGCCATCAATTGCTGCCACAAAAGCAGCAGGAGGCCAAACCATGATCCTCCCCCGCACCTTGTGCCTCATGCTGGCCTTCTGAAGGGTACTGTAGCAGCAGCTATTCACAATTTTTTTACCGTTATTTCATCCTGACCCATGTGGCCCAGTATGGTGATAAAAGTTAACATTTCAGAAATGTTGCCATAGCTTCTGAGGTCTTGTGCAACACTCTGCAGCTTCAGAACAAACCTCCCTCTTTCCTGCGTAGGATTTCAAGACTGGAGACTCTGAAGCCATGGAGGGACCATTTTTTGATGTGTGTGTGCGCAGGGCTCCTCTTTGAAAGGATCTGTAGATGGGGGTGGGGAGATTTTCCTGCACATTGTCCTTTCCTCTGTAGCTACAATAACATTTCAGAAATGTTAACTTTTAATACCGTACTGGGTCGTGATGAAATAATGCTAAAATTTTGTGGATAGCTGCTGCTGCAGTACCTTTCGGAAGGCCAGCTTGAGGTCTGAAGTACGTGGGGCCCGTCTCCTGCTGCAAGAGTGGCTGTCCCTGAGGAGTGCTTTTGGGAGAGAAGGCAAAGATCAGCTTTGCCTTGCCCCTTGCCCTCATCCCCCTTTCAGCTCTCCAAGGGTCTCTCCCAGAACCAAGCTCTGATGGAGCTCAACCAGAGAAGTGGCCCGCAGGCTTTCAGGAGCAAAGGGCAAGGGAAAGTCCAGTGCCGCCCCAGCGCTCTTCTTTCCACAGAAATGGAGTCTTGGGAAGGAAAAATGGCAGCCCCAGGCAGGGTGGGTTTGTCGGCATGTGTATAAAAAGCATAAAGCGAGGGAGCCAGCAGCCATGGTTTGAGGAGCTTTGTGAAACATCATGCCCACCCATTTTTCTGCCGAGCCTTCAATGTTGCAATCCTGGGATATGCTGAAAGCTTGGGGGGAGTCTTACAGTAGAAGCAAAGTGCAGCCTGTCCCTTTCAAGCAATCAAATGTCTCTGTGTGTGAGAGAGAGACAGAGAGAGAGAGAAACAATGTGAAGCAACGGCCAGTGTGGGCTCCGTCTGCCCAGCCATGAAGCGGGATCAACATGACCAGTTCTTGGCCATTGGTGGCCAGGATCGGTTCACAGCCACTGCCAGCTGAGATCAGTAGGCCACACTCGCTGAGCTGGAAGCACCGTGCATATGCTGCCACCACCCAGGAGGAGAAGAGTGTGCCAGAGCCCAAACACTGAGCCTCGCCAGCCTCAGAAATCAGGGATCTTGCAGGCATACTGGCCACATAAAGGCCGGCCAAATCCCTGGGTTGTTTGCAACTCGAGTGCAGCCGTCCGCCCCAAACCAAGCGGCGGGGAGGCTTCAAGACAATGCTCGGGACTGCCCAGCCAAGGACGGCATCCTTCTAGCACCTGCTGCCCTGGCAAAGCAAAAGCAAGTGAGGGCCAACAGGGGTCCTCCGATTGCCCCCCTACCCTGCCAAAGGGGAAGCTGTGGGTATCCCAGGATTGCAATGCTGAAAGCTTGTGATGGAATCTTTTTTACAAGTGAGTTGTGCAGCTGTCCTCCCCAAACCAAGCAGCAGGGAGGGTTCGGGAATACATGCAGGAAAATCCCCCTCGCAATTTTCCTGCCAAGCCTTTAGCATTACAATCCTGGGTTACGCTGAAGGCTTGGGGTGGGTGGGGAGGCTTTTTGGCGATAGGCAGGAAAATTGCAAGGGAGGTTTTTCTGCCTGTACTCCTTTTCCTGCCTGGCCACACTTGCTGGAGGAGGGGCCTGAGCAGAACCCACGAGGCACCTGTTCCGTGGATGGAATTGTCTGCTGTGACTCTCACTGTTAGGGGGACGCAAGGCATGTGGGATGCATTGCTTGGCATCCAGCTTCTTTTGCAGTCACAATTGGCTACAAAGGTGGCCACACTTACTGGAAGAAGTGGCCGGAGCAGCTCAGCTGATCCGCAGGGCCCAATTAAGGGGCTGAGCAGCCCTAAGGTGACTGGTCTCACATCTTTTTTATATTGTGGTGACCAAAACTGGATGCAGTATTCTCATTTGATCTTGTTTGTATCCCTCTTTTAATGCAAGTTAGGATTGCATTGACTATTGTGGCTGCTGCCACACACTGCTGACTCATATTTAATTGGTTGTCCACTAAGCCTCCAAGATCCCCCTCAGTTACTCAGTTACTGCCTTGATTCACCCAGTTTATATGTGTACTTTTGATTTTTCTTGCCTAAGTGTAAAACTTTACTTTTTTCTACATTGAATTGCATTTTGTTAGGTAGGGCCCGGTGTTCAAGTCTGTCAAGATCCATCTGGATCTTGAGCCTATCATCTATGGCAGGGCTCTGCAACACTCAGAGCCATTTGAACCCGTTTCCCACAGAAAACACTTGGAGCCACAAAACCTGGGTGGGCATGGCCAACTCAACGTCACTCCCACCCAGTCACATAACCTCCACCCCCAGCCACACCTACCCAGGTTTTGTGGCTTCTGGTGTTTTCTGTGGGAAATGGGTCTCTCTCCTTCTCCCCCCTCACTCTCATTTGTTTTTCTTTCTTTCTTCCTTTCTCTGCCTTCTCTCTCATTTGTTTCTTTCTCTTTCCCCTCTCATTCTCTCTCATTTCTTTCTCCTTTCTCTCTAATTTGTTTCTTTTTCCTCTAATTCTCTCCCTCCATACTTTTCTCATTCTTTTTTTCTTTCCTTTTCTCATTTCTTTTCTCTCCCTCTCATTTGCTTTTCTTTTTCCTCTCCTTCCTTTCTTTTTCTTTTCTCCCCTTCTCTCATTTGTTTGCCTCTTTTCCCCCTTTCTCTTCCTCCAGCTTTCTCTTATTTCCTTATCCCTCCCCCTCCCCTTTTCTTTCTGTGTTTCTCTTTCCCCCCTCTTTCTCTCCCTCTCATTTCTTTTTCTCCCCTTTTCTCTCTCTCATCTCTCTCACACCCGCACACAAGCGGGATACCCTCCTGGGCTGGGATCACAGTGGTGGCAGCGACAACTCCTCCCGCTGCCGCCCCTGTGTGCTCAGGTGAGTCGCCAGCCACTCTGTGCAGGAGAGCTGGAGCTCTTCCTTCCCTGCATCCAGAGGTGGCGGCTGCTCCTTCCTGTTCCCCTCATTTCTGAGCCAATACCAAGGGATCTGCGGCTGGAATCGCAAAAAGCAGCCAGAGAAAATGTGTAGAGAAAATGCTAGGTGCACTTCAGCCACGTGGCTCTGCAAAAAGGCTCACGTCTTCTCGGGGTGGAGAGCAAGTCGCACAACAGGGTCGGGCTAGTGTCTCAGGGCAGAGAGCAGGTCACACCACCAGGTCGGCAGGGAGCTGCAGGAGAGGGATCAAAGAGCCACATGCGGCCCTGGACCCATTGGTTGCCGACACCCAATCTAGGGTCTTAACTGTTCCCGCTAGCTTAGTATCATCCACAAATTTGGTAAGCTCATGTAGATGTAGACTCATTAAGGACTACTCATTGAATACAGTTTGTCAGCCAGTTACAAATTCATCTGGTGGTGATACTATCTATCCCACTTTTTTCTAGCTTACCAAGAAGTAGGTTTGGTCTACTTTTATCAAATGCCTTTTTGAAGTCTAAGTATATTATGCCAACAGTATTTTGCTGATCTACTAATTTAGTCACTATGTTGTTCTTGGGCCGTGGCTGTGGGATACGGCCCCATCCTAACAGCCTAGATCAGTGTTTCCCAAACTTGGCAACTTTAAGACTTATGGACTTCAACTCCCAGAGTTCTCCAGCCAGAAGAGCTAGCTGAAGAATTCTGGGAGTTGAAGTCCACAAGTCTTAAAGTTGCCAAGTTTGGGAACCACTGGCCTAGATGATTGGTTGGATAATGTCTTGGTGCTATGTTATGTAGAGTGACATAAAAGTGAGATGGTTTGAAAAGGCCCTGAAAATTATTCTATTCTAACAGTCCTGGACCCATAGTATGATTGTTGGATAATTGCTTATTTCATGCATTTCAATTATTAGAATTTTGTTGGATCAATTGATTGCTGTGAATAGGCCTAAGTCCTAGTAATTGAGACAGTATGCAAAACTGATAAATATTTAGTATCTCAAAGACGTTTGCAATTACATT